GTATTGCTCATCAGAGCTTTTTCCGTACGTAAACGTATTACGGAACTGTTTTCGAGAAAAGATAGGATCAATTCTCCATCAAGATTCTTCGAAAAACGATCGTTAATAAACCAAAATGTTTTGTAAAAATAATTATTTTAGTAAAAGTATTGACCGCGCGCATCAACGATATTTTCTAATCACTTCCTATCCGTAAGTAATTTACAAAATTTCACAGCACGTTTAATAAAAAAAGTCAGTCGAGATGAAAGTTTGCGACAAAGCGTCGAGGAAAATTATTTCCTCGGTTGAAGAAAATTATTTTCTCGGTGCGATAAACAAGAGCCGTTTCATTATAGCAACAAAATAGACGATCGTCTAGGGCCTCGCATCCGCGACGATCTCGCTACATCACAACCAACACTTTAACCGAGAACTTTGTCGGTGCCAGAGCTGCATATGGTGGTAGCTTAGCTAGTCTCATCGCGTTACATGTCCCCGCTTGAATAAACCATAATCCACCGAGGCACTAACCGAGCATCAACAAAATATCGAAACAGTCACGTGAACGAGATAAGAATATCGAGCATTTTATCAGCAGGGAGACGTAGGAGTGGCTTTGGCTCATGGGATTTATTTCCCATTTTCCCGACATATGCCAACCGCGGATCAGATCGTAACTTCACCGCAAAAACATTGAACTCCTGATCCTTTAAAATTACCATTTTATACTTGATATATTCGCAGATATGCATGAAGAATAGTGATTCCTCGAAACGTGACAATTTCAAAGCATAATCCAATAAAATTGACATTGACACAGATAACCGCATCGATAAAGTTTTAAAGTTTGTCTTTGATGTTGAATGCATCGAACGTATATTCTATTTTGTGCGATGTAAAAGAGAGAATAAGAATGTGAGATATCGGATAAAATTATTGTCGTTACAAAAATGCTCCGTAAAAATTTCCAATAAGCAAACTAGCCGCAGTATGCCAGCAGCAAATGCGGACAGAAATTTCTAGCAAAGTGGCATCATCAATTAATCACCGTATTAAGCTCGTGTTTTGCCGACAGAATTTGCTAACATGATCTGACAGCAGATTGTCGGCAGAAATCGCACAGGGCTTGCATTCGACAGATTCTGCTCGATTTCTACTGCCAATCTCTGTCGAAACTATAGCGAGTACATATATCAAAGTCTGCCCATCAATCGACCATCATATCTTGTTAATAAACTTTGCTATTCTCTGCCAGCATTTTGTCAATGATATATATCAAATCCTTCTCTATAGTCCTCTTGCAGATAAAATTTGTAGCAGATAGATAGATTCTGATAGATTCTGATAAATTTTTCATAAATTTGGCAGACCAGATTATTAATAGTTGATTAATAACACTTTAAATTTATTAATTAATCTTTTAATTCTATTTGACAATATTTTGTATTGTATTTTCTTAAACACCCAAATGCGATTATAAGTGTCCTGTTTCATTTTGTACGCGTACACATACGTATAAAGACGTGTTCTCTTCATCAAGTGTTCACGTCATTCGTATTTTCGGTTCTCTCTTGGCACGGCTGCGCCGGTCTTTCAAAAGCACGTCGCGCACACTTTCGTCGACAATGAAAAAATTTTATTCCGTCCGCTCCGCTTTGAGCTTTCAAACCTATATGCAATAGCATACGGCGCGACATTCGTTTCCGTTGGCCGCACCTGGCCGCGAGAACTGTATCGCTGCATCGAGCCGAGTACGCAGCGCTCATAAATAGGCGTCGGTGCGAAACGATCGACGTTAATGTCTCGATGCACCCTGAAATTCGAGCGCGTGGAGAAAGGCGAGCGATCGCATCACCCGCGATTGTCGCGGTCGCATTCAATACGAAAATCACGATTGATAAAGTTGAAACTGCGGTAACTTGATTACGCATGTGCGGTGCGCGCTCAGCGTACGGTCAGCTGTATATATTTCACTAAATACCGCGAACCGGTATGTATTAATCTAAAAGAAACATCAATCGCGCATTGGTACGTGGCGATAGTACACATTCTAATGGCTACGTGCGCCACGATATAAATATATTTAAATATGTGATTCTCTACAATACCAAATATCCGTATGCAGAGAGAACGCTCACTGGCAAATCTAGAAATTTAAAATGCAAATCTGAAAACAACTTTCTTGAGCCTTTAAAATTATTATATACGACGTTCAAATTACTGATTACTAGAAGATACAAAAATGTTTGCATTATTATTATGCTTAAACGTTCTACATAATAATTTTAATGATCCGATAAAATTATTTTCAGATCTATATTTGATCGAATTTTTAAATTTTGCCAAAGGCAAAATTGTTTTTTTCGTGTAGCAATACAAAAAAGTCTAATGAAAGCTATAAGTTATATCAATTATACATAATTATATGAATTATAATAAAAATCCTACGCCCAACTTGAAATAAACAAGAGATCAAGAAATTATTTTATCTTTCTTTAAAAATTATTAAATCTGATGAAAACGTACATATAGTTTATATGTGTTTTATGTCAATAGCAAGAACATCTATTAAATCAGATTTAAGAAACCAAAACGTCCAATAAAATCTTCACATTTGTCATTTTACGAATAAAGATCGGGTATTATTGAGTTTTATACGTGCAATAAATCCACAGCATTTGCCGTGAAACATAATTAAAAAGGCATTTTTGCAGCAGTCATGCCAATTGCAACGTATGTCATTTAAAATGTTTACATGCCAGTGATTTATGCGATCTTAATGTCAGATTACGGCTTTTCTGTTTATTATGCCCAATATGCGCATTTCAATCAGTGTTCCCCATTGCACACTGCACTATTTTATACGCTGCTATGCTATTTGGGGCCGATCGAATATTTGCATAATATTAACAAGATCGGAAATATTAAAATCGAATGCGATTTCGTGAACTGTTCTAACTTTGACATTTTGAAGCATGAGAGATTACAGAGAGAATAAGTTGATATGCTAATATTAGCAATATGAATGCAAGAGATTTATGTTTTATCGGATGAAAAAAATTTTTAAACACAGGTAATCTAATTGGGTTAATGGAAAACTATACACGTGAACATATATATATATATACACAAGGTCATATATACACAGTCAGACTTATTAAATGACGGGATGACATAAAAATAATTTCTAATATTAATAATTAACTTTTTCCACCTGTCTTCCCGAAATGTACCCAAATATGCATAATGTTTTAATTAGCTAAAAATAAAAAAATAATATTAAAATAATTGCATTTATTCGATTTTAACAATTAATCTTCATAAATTGCATTTGCTAATAAAGGGAAAAAAACCTTATTTAATTTCGTATATATGTTAAAAAAAGAAAATTCGTGCAATATCCTGGTCCAATTATTATGGCATTAATTTTAGCACATGCCTATTAAAGATAGCAAGACATAGTACACGATGCAAATTAGTATAAGCAGTGATGCAATGAAAAACGTTACAAATACAACAGACTAGCAATCTATCATTCTCAAGGTCGGTGTACAGTGCATTGTGCACAATTTCCTGTAATGCAATTACCGGTACGATAAATTACAATCACGAAGTAGAAGTATCACTGTCACGCCCCACGATTTACTTAATTGCGATGCGATCGAAAGTCGTCTAAAAACGTCTAAGGCTATTAATGCAGATGATACTATATCTACTATATCTTTTATAAATTGCTTATAACATTTTGAGAAAAAACAGTTTTGTCATTAATGAACAATATTTTAATAAAACATTTTATTACTAATCTATTGCAAATTCCTTTTTTATGTTTAATATAATTTTTTATTTTAAATATTTCAACAATCAAATTAATACAAAAATATAATTAATTGCAAACAATGTATTTTATTTTAAACTATTAAGTATTAATTGAATAATTATATAATATTAAATATACTTTGATTTTCAACGCTAAATATTTTCGCATAATTAGATCTTTTCAAATTGTAGTTAATCAGAATTTAATAAGAAATTGATATTATTGAGATAATTTCAAATTGATGGACGTTTTTACCATGCTTGGAAAATATTTTTTGGCAGTGTCACGTGAGGAATTAAACTAGAAATAAAGCTTCGCTGAGAATAAAATCCTCGACACCATGTGACGCATAAATTGTGCATATTTTATTCCGTTTTCCGCAAAACAACGCAAAAACTGGCTACCTTGCAAAACTGTCAAGGCAACTCGCAATTAAAACGAACGTTGCTAACCCGCATAATTTATTTACGATATAAGCCGTTCGTGTTAATGAATGCTTATTAATGAAATGCATACATTACCTCGTTTCAAACAATTTTATGGTTGAAGGATGAATTTTATACAGACTTTTTGTGAAAATCAATTAAGAAATCAACTTAATCGAAACTATATAAAATACGTTTAGAACTTTTTAGAGAAATAGTAAGAATATAAGAAGTTGTATTGCAGAAGTAAAAAGTATGTAGGAAATGATATAAATGTCAAACTGAAGAAAGATAGCGAACAAAAAAATTCTTCCAAATACAAAAAGTAAAAGGGGAAAGGAATAATGAATTTAAAATATTTAAAATAGTTTTCCCTTTATGATAATGGCGAATACAAATCCAAATATAAATATAAATATCATCATATGAAAAGCATGACGTAGTAGTAGATTGCCATGGCACGTGTCACACTTTTCCAACAACTGAGAAACGTGAGAGAAATAAACAAACCAACACGAGTACTATTGGCAAGTGAAATGTCAACAATTGAGATTGCTTTTCCATAATCCCAATACCAATGGCAATGATTTTGCAATGGTAAATAAATCACGTCGCGTCTATTAAATATTTACATCCGTAATCCTTTCCATAATACCTAATTGCCAGACATCTTTGTAATCACATATAATTCTCGTAATCATATATATTTCTTCGCGCTGAAAATAAAAGCGGTCTTCCGATAAGTAACACCGCTCGTTTCCTCTGTGTTTCAGAAAAATTGATACAAGTCCGGACCACATATCGGATTCTGCATTCAGCAGTCAAAGGTAATTTAGAATGTCGATTATAAACAATTATCGAAATATAAATTGCAATCGTATGTAAATATATGTTTATAATTCTTTTTATTGTTATCATTATATCTCATTTTTATGCCCCTAAAACGGAATTATCAAATTTATACAAATATTATATCATATTTGCAATTTGCAATACATTTACCCTTCCTATAAATTTTTTTTATATTTAAATACAATAAAAAAACAAAGCTAAATGACTTTTTTTCGTCTTTAACTGACATAATTTAAATTTAGTAAATAATAAAAATTCCTCAAATATAATAGCAATATAAAAATTCCTCAATATAATAGCAAAAAATGTAAACTATCTAAATTTATATAATATTCATTAAAACATTTATTATGATAATAATAGTCAACAATGATTGACAGTTTATAATTTATGATTTTAATATCATTAATATACAATTCTAATAAAAATTTAATATAAATCAGAACGTAAACCACTTATGTATCGCATTTATTTGACGTGTAGAAGATAGAAAATTAAATAATTAAAGTAATGAGAAATCCTTGACCCAATTATTCTGGGCGTATTTGCAGCTGTGCTCAATGAGAAAAGGAAAAATATTATTGGATCTTCAGGGTCGAAATAATTCGTTTAATAAAATCTGAAGGGATAATATCTCAAATTTATACAACGAAAAAGCAGGGAATTTTCTCGAAGTAATGTTACCTTTTGCCAATGAAAGCATAAGATAGCATAAATACGAAAAAGTATCCATATCAGGTCACATGGATAAATGCATATTTATATCAGGGATTTTCAGGGATGTAATTTACCATTGGGATCACGTCGAATATAAATATTTTATCGATAGAACATAAATGAATATTAATAATAATAATAATAATAATATAATAAATAAATAACATGTCTAAGAATATTTATTAAAATGCATTAAATATCGATATGTTGCATTCTAATATCACGATATATTATATCTAATTCGTCTTTAAAATCTTTCACAGATTAAAAAAATTGTTAGATATAATTAGCACAAAATGTTCATAATTAGATATAATTAGCACAAACGTTCATAATACAAAAAGTAAAAAGAACAAAACAAATACGTTTTCATTCTAAATAAAATAGAAGAAAAATATTTAGTTTAATTTAAAGTAAACTTCCAACTCTATTTCAAGTAAAAATTTTATTTTCGGTAATAGTGGAAAGCTTCTATTTGAAGTAAAAAACCCACTATTTTTCTCGTTAAACTTTATAGTTTAAATATTTTTTTATTAAATATATTTTGAGCGTATATTATATTTTATCACGCTGTTTCTGTTATTTAATGTTTCTGTTATTCAGTCATATAATTTGCTTGATCAAATTTTATTGTGCTTTAAAGCTTTTTTTTTAAGCTGTACATCATTATCAAAATATTATCAAAATACAAACAGAAAAACAATCTCAGAGCTTAATATAAATAAAAATGATCTTTTTCTCATTCGGAGTTACCCGATATGTATATATGTTCGATCTTATCGAATGATAAAATTGTAACAATTCTACAAACTAAATATATATATAAATACAAATTTTATATATAATTTTATATATAATTTTAAATATATATAAAGAAATTTTAACAAAAAATTGTTTAAAAAAATCTTAAAATAAAAATTAAATGTTAAGATAATTCAAAAATTAAAAATATTTCTGAATATTTTACACATACATACACACATATATATATATATGTGCATCATTATACTGAAATACTTCTATTTACACAATTATTAACCTGTTTGAAAACACATCCATAACACTCATATTATATATATTTATTTAGTGTATAGTTATTTTCATACATAAGATAAAGATGTAACAATAAAAAAAAGCTAATCAGCATTGCGAAAAAAAGATTACGAAATTAAATTTCTTATCTGTTTTTTTAAGAATAAATAATGCCAGCAAAAACAATTTTGTTCAAAGAATTCGTTGATGCGAAAGAAAAGAGATCAAAAAGAAAATTCCGACTGAAAATATCAAATCAAATTTCCATGAAATGCAGTTAATTGGTCATAAAATCTGTTTGCTGTTTTAACGCGTCAAAACAGCAAACATCATTCAAACACTTCTCCGATAAATATGTACACAATCATACTGGGTAAAGTTTGATTAATACGCATGGTGGCTTTAGACCTCGCATTTAATTTAAAAACAAGGTTTCTATCGAAGTAACGGAATCAACCATAGTACATAGTGGATTCCGTTATAATTTAATTAAAAAGCGTTACCGATACCATGGCATGTATTCTAAAGTGTACTTGCAGTAATTAACACTCCGCTTCGTTAAAAAGAAAAAATCATTAACATTTAACGATAGACGCAAGATATTAATCGCATATTTAATCGTTATTACGTATCAATCGCAGTTTTACTTTTCCAATCCTGTCAATATAATTTCTTTTTTCAATAAAAAACATAAACTTTTATTCTAGGTTGCAATAAAACGGATACTTTTAATTAATGACTTTTAACACTTCTTTTCTGTATATAAAAGAAAATTGACAATTGATAAAAACTGTATGGAGTAACTGTATGAGTAACCTAGTTACTGACCAACTAGTATCATAGTAGTTACATATGTATTACAGCATAGCATAGCATAGCATAGCATAGCATAGCATAGCATAGCATAGCATAGCACACACACACACACACACACACACACACACACACACACACACACACACACACACACACACACACACACACACACACACACACACACAGATATATATATATATATATATATATATATATGTGTGTGTGTGTGATAATACCAATGCAACTGAAATTCATTAAGCTTAGAGAGATTACGCCTGAGTTGCCGCTCTCAAATGTGTATTGGCATGAATGTGAAATCATCAGGGCGTTTGAGATAAGGGTTTTAGCTAACTATTACCAACTCGAAACGCTAAATAATCGTTATTCAATTCATCGTCGTTAATTAGCGCAAAAGTCATTAAATATTGTAATGGGCGACCCTAATTAAGCAGAGCAAATATACGCGAATAATTTCTCGAACACGAATCATTTATTTTAATTACTTGTTGCTTTTGAACGATTATTCGAATAAATTGGCGATTATCAACAAAGCTATGTCACAACTTGCTGTCACATATTAAATAATAAAGACGCAATAATAATGACGCATATGTGTAGCTTTTGTTACATTATTTCATGAAAAAGATACATTATTTAATTACATATATTAAAATATACATAAAATATATTTTGCTGTAGTAATAGAATCGATCATATTTAAATAACATGTTTGCTATAAGTGTGCGCGAACGCATTGCATATTTGACGATGTGCCATTATAACAAATGAATGCAGTTGATATCGAGCGATAGATAGGCTCGCAAAATCCCAGTGAAATTGATAGCTCATTTGTTAAATATAATTGATAAATGGAATAAACCGGATTGAATCTACATCAATCTGTTGTATTGTAATTGCTAGTAACTAGTAACTGCTCTGAGCTAGAAGCGACTTTGTCGTAAGATAAATTAACTGATAAATTGTTCCGGACAGGTGTAAAGACTTGATGTCGGAGACAACAGACAGGATATAATGAATCTTTGCCAAAAGCTTCAGTAGATTATGCGATTGTAATACCTCTGTGAAGGATTAGCCTTCGTCATTCCTAATACACATCAACTTTCTTTGTTCTTTACAAGAATGTACATGTAGCGTGTATAAATTGTTTAACTTTCATCAAACATATTGAGATACGAAAAAAGATACGATGCCTTCACTATTATTCTTAAACGTCCAAGCGTCCAATGAATAAATTTGCATTTATTAACGCTACGTGCCACGTGGCAACGCTAAGCCTTCTCTAATTTTTTATAAAAATAAAACAGAACAAAAATTATATAATATTCTACTAGAAATATCATCCAAATGCAACATTTATCGTTCAAATTTATCTTTTCTTAACAAAAAATATTTTGTGCTCTGCAGAGTATACAAGAAATCCTCGCCGAATAACAAGTTGACGCTTTACCTAGCCAGCAGAGATATTATTGTCAGTGAAGCTAAGAACGACAACAAGCTCCTAGGAGTCCTCTTGGTCGATCCCGACTATGTGCGCGAAAAAAAGGTAAAACGAAGCAAGACGAATCACAATATTTATTTTTAGGAAAAAGCAAGTTTTCTTGCGTATTTATGAAGATGTTTATCAGAGAGATATAGTATAGAATGTATATCTTCTTCAAATTGGTTTCAAAACTGTATAACATTCACAAGAATATAATCAATATCTATAAAAAGACATTGCTCGAAACATATCGAACATATCGAACACATTGCTCGAACACATATCGAAATGTCAGGTTTAATGGTCGAAATAAGCTCTTCGAGCTTGTAAAGAATCCTGCTTAGTTCCCTTCGGAATAAGCATTAAATCTACTGGAAATCTTCTTCACATGACGTACCATTCGATCGGAGATAATTGAAGTTGGTAGAAATAGTTCTAATTCCCAATATCTCAATATCTCTTTTCTAAATATAAAGAAAGAAAAACATGAAATATTAACTATATTGTATTTGTTTCCAAAATCTTGCCAGATTTCTTTATTCATTTTCGATGAAATATTTTGAATATATCTAGTATAACATATACAAATATTTTATATTATACAAAAATATTTAACAATAATATAAAAAAGAATTTTTACACTAGGAATAGAAAACTTATTTTTAAGTTACTAGCAAATTATTTATTCTTTATAGATTTTTTTTCGTATATGAATATATACATATTATTCTAAAAATAAGATAAATTATTGTTTTTATAGGTATATGGTCAAGTGACTCTAACTTTTCGTTACGGAAGAGAAGATGAAGAAGTAATGGGTTTGAAATTTTGCAACGAGGCGATGATGTGTTTGGCCCAACTGTATCCAGCCTACGTGGGGGCTCATCATCTGGAAACCAAGAGTCCGTTGCAGGTAGAATGTCGATACAATGAATAAATTTCAACAATTATAATATTACAATTATAATATTACAATTATAAATTTTCCGAAAGACTTTGAAAGGCTTTTTCGTTCTACTTAAATATTATTTCCAAAATTTCTCTTTTCTTTTTAATTTATCACATTGCAATTCTTGCGCTTAAAGATCCGATCGAGTAAATTTTAACTAGGAGATTTCAATTAAAGAAGATAAATTCGCTGTTGGGTGGGGACGCTTTTCGATATTAGTGCACGCTATTCATATACACATGTTGAAATTCGCATCATCGTTACGAGAGCACAGATGTATTCATAGCGTGTCTTAACTGCACGAGGTGAAATATAGTCCAATACGCTTCAAGGATTTAGGTTACAGTGGTATAAGTGGAATTTATGCTTTCCTTGATTAAACTGTACCTATCGCGGCATACAGAAGTTGTGATTTGTGAAACTCCGTAATTAATTCGATCGTTCTATCCAATGATATAATGATCAAGATAATTATATAATGATACTGTCAACTGCGTACCTAATAGAGAAATAAGCAATGAATGTTCAACCCGCTACAGAAATGTTCAACCACTACAGAATTTCAAGTGTCTCACATTTCGAGACGTATCACGATGCAATTTCAAAGCAATGCATTTCGAACGGACATTGGATGTAATCAAGAGATGTGTCTCGGAATTAGTAGATATTGATAATCCCTAAGTACCTCGCAAGAAAGATGAAGACGGTAAAATGATAAATGGATTTCCGACTATACAAATCCCATTATATCTACATCATATTTTATCGTGTGAATGAAAACTACTTTATAATTATCTTGATATCCTAAAAGCGATCTGATTTAATTTTGATATGTCCGAACTTCGAAATCCTGGCAGGATTCTTATATCTATTCAACAAATAACTGCATAAAATGTATATATCCATGTATCATGTGAAAAATTGAATTCATCAAAAATCACATCAGTTAGTATCTAAAAAATGTCGATCACTACAAACAATTTTAAAACACTCATGCAGTATCGAATATATCACGGTATATTGGGAACGTTCCACCATGTAAATCACATTTCCGTGTCGAGCGCACGCAAAACTATTTTTGCAAACCTTCAATTAAACTCTGCAACTTCAAAAGCTGTCTCACTTGTTTCCTCGCCACGTCTGGTTTTTATGGCACACAAATCGTAATGCGTAACTGGCCCCGAGCGAGATTCAGCGATCATAAAAACTTTGAATTCGAGTACAAAGACATCGCTGATTGTCATTCTACAATATATTCCGGTGAAACGCACAGGAAAATATTTTTATACTTACTTAAACTAACGCGGTACACGTCTGAACTAACAAATATTATAAAATTCAACAGAAAGAAATGTGCAACTATGTGAAACAAAATTGTTTTAAAAGTTTTTAAAAGACACTAACATTATTCGTGGAAATAGAATTTATTTCAAATTTCATTAAATAACTCTTATTAAAAAAAATATCAAAATCAAAAATATCAAAATTCAAAATCACAAAAAAATAGAAATAGATAATCTAACTATCTTCTATCTTATTTTGTTTTAATGTTAATAATTCTTCTAATAGTTGTAATTTTCAAATAAACAATAAAAAATATTAAACTTGAAACATATTGAATCTGTTGAAATTAGTGCTATTAATAAATTAATACTATTAATATTAAACTACTTGCATATCGTAAGATTGAAATATATACATGTTTTTATATAATAAATTATAGTAAATTATAATTGAGATTTTAATAGAAATATTTTCATAATTAATTTTCAATAATATGATTTATTGCAACGCACTAATATCAACAAGCATTTAAATATAATAAACTATGAAATTCATGATTAGATAGCTAGATGCTTTACATATAAACTATTTCTCAATCGAACTACTATAATAATCCATTACAACTAATCGGTGCATTGTTTCTGCAAATAATTAATATGAATAAGGCAGAAACAATAAGGCCTTTTTTTTCTCAATAGTGGCACATGAAAATAGTACAATATATATGACAAAATAAATTGTTCGATTGCCCTTTATCAATAAAAATATATCACATCTTATCGCAATGTGTCGACAGGGATAAAGATATTTAAGGATTTTGACAAAAGTAGATGTTGAAGAAAACCGAAATTCTTTTATGAAACTGTAAGACCCATCACTGTAATACAATCGATATCAGACATGTAAGAAATTCTTTTCAAATACGAACGAAACTGTAAAAGACTAACTGAAAATCTTTTCACATATTCTGTCGTTAAGAAATATTTTTTTGCACAGTAAATTTTTTATTAAATTTAATTCATTTCGATCATTATATTAACTCAAAAACATCAACGAGAAAAGCCGATGCGATCAACTGAAATGAGTATGTATTAAATATAAACAATAATTTATTAGAAATATTAATTAATATACACAAATATTAATATTGATGTCAAAATAAATTTCTGTTAGTATAACTTTAATAAATACAATGTGATATTGTATCAATAATATATATTAATATTACGTCAACATAATTAAAATGCCTCTTAAAAGATCTAAGCTGATCTTGTTTCATCCTAAAATAATTACTAGCAAGCTCCTTTATTACAACATGCAATTAACAAGTTCAAAAGTTTCAAAGCAAGATTCGTATACATAAATAAAATACTCCTCATAAAAATATAGTTTACACATATTATAAATATGTGTTTATAAATATACAATCAGAAAATCTTGCAATTTATAAATTATAAAATTGTCAACCGTTAAATCTCTTTTCTAAATATTTTTTTTGTATAATTTCCATATTAATTTTCATATTAATTTTCGATACATTGTGAAATTTAACAAAGGTTTGGCTCAATGGATCGCATTAATCATAATCACGATGTTCGTGATATAACACGATGCACATTTACACGATAAAATTATTTGAAATGTACATATGAGGGTACATTGATGCAAAATAAATTCATTTAAAAGCTACCATTATCCGGTAAATGAAGAAACGTGTAAAAAGCTGAAACAAGATATATATAATTGCATAAATTACTGTGCAAAATATTGAAAAAAGTATTTCCATAAATGGCAAAGAGAAAATTTCAAGTTACATTTTACTCTGAAAAAAATATTAATATCATCAGATTTGTTTTATATGTATGTAATATCAACCATATGCATTTCAAAAAGAAGTCTTATCACAATTAAAATCGACGTTTTATTTTTGGGGGTTAGTAGAAAATAGAAATCGGAACAAATAATGATCCAAATTTATTTCCAATTTCTACAATGCAATCATAATATATGTCATTTAGTTAAACAAATTTTTTTGAATATATGATAATAATATATTTGATTATATTACATTCTTACCGATATCTATTTTATCATTCATTTCAAATGAAGTTTATTTTAAAAGAATTTATTTAGAAATATAGTTGCAAAGATACAACGATGCCAAAAATTGAAAAAGTGCAATAAATGATGATATTGATGATCTCTCTCAATATTTCCATCGAGAAAATATCGACTCTAAATTAGCCTGTATATTACATATACTATATTCCGCGATATATTCTTTAAAAAGATTTCATCAAAAGCAATTTTGTGACAAAATTGCATATTATCGGTGGCGATCGATAATGCCAAAAGAATGCTCCGATTGGATTTTCGTTAAAGAGCTCTCAAAGCAGAGTGGAAAACGCGCTCGTCGCTGTGACCAAGAAAAATCTGAAATCTTTAGTAAAGCCTCGACTACGCTACAAAATCACTCTCGCGAGAGCGCGGCCTTGACCTCGACCTAACGACAGAAGGAGAGATCTTGTGAGCTTCCGCGGAAATTATTTATCGCGTCCTCGTCTTTTCCTACGTGAGCATTTGACAATGAGCGTGATCTTGATTCCGGGACCGATTCAAAGATAAATGCGACACACATGGAAAATGCCGTCGGCTTTGGAGCAATGTATCGAGCAATGTATCGGGAATACGTACGAGCGTATTCAGTAGCTAATGAAAAGCGCGAACATACGTTATACCTATATGAGGTAATCAATGTGATGGAATTTTAAGAACTCAGATTAACGTTAGGATTGCCGTTAGGACCAGATGTTTCGCGGCATCGAAAACGCGT